CAAAGCCGCGCCACAGCAAAACTTTCAGACCGACGCTTTACCGTGGGCCAGCACAAAGAGGCAGGACTTACGAGGAGGTCTCCCGTAAGACCGACTACGTTGCAAATCATGAACCAAGGTGCCAGGGAGTCGCGTGCTTTCGTAGGTATCCCTGAGGGAGCTTACCAGCCGAGACGTAAAACAAAAAGTCCAGAGAAAAAGCGCTCCACCGACGGGTCGGAGTGCGAAAATACCTGATCACGTCATAAGCTGATTGCAGAAGCCTCGCTGATCGCATGAATTCGGAAGCACCAGCCGCGGTGTCGGACAAGAGGTTGCAAATCGAGCCGAGCGCGCTGCGCCACTTCATCCTTAATGGGGACGGTGTAAAAACTTGTGGGACTGACCTTGATGGTGCAGATCGTGTGGACTGGATAGATACAGCCACACAAGCAGCAGACTGTTTCACAAAGTCGATATTTCCCGATTTCATCGTAGTGTATATACCGTGCGCAGGGCTAAACTGCAGCACCGCAAGCAGGACGGCTTTATCACACATATAGACCGCATCGGCGGAGAAGGCTGCAGAAGCCGTTAACTAGCAGTGATACTTTCTGTAAGGAGTATCGCTCGTGGATACTTCGTCACTCATGGCATGAGAACAGGTTGAGTCTCAAACCTTCCTGTCCGTCTCTTGTATAGGAACATGCGTGTGGTAAGAGAGCCATAGCCCTGAGTGTTATGAACAACTGTATATACCGCCGCCATTAGGGCCCACTGAGTTTATACGTGTAGTTGCGCTGTTACAGAAGGGAAAGCCTCGGCAGGTTTCTTCAGAGTTGGTTTCTTACGTGGACAAGCATTGAACATGTTCTATGTTGAATAAATCTCTGGAAGCTGGAGTTTTTTGGGCTGCTTAGTGTTGACATTCATTTTTGAGTCATGACAGCCCGGTCCTTACGTGGGACAGTTGAGTGGCCTAGACAAATCGAATCGAATGATGATGAACGATCTGTGAATATATCTTTATCTTTTGGTCAGTCCGTCGGGGGTCTGTCGATTTGTCTGTCTGAATGTCTGCCTGTCTGTCTCTGAACAATCGTCCTTCTTCGTCTGATCCGGTACAATCGCTAGAGTAGGTTGCTGTTACAGGTCGTCAACTGTCAAAACTTGAACCGCAGACTCAAGGCGCAGAGGAGGAGCAGGCGACCATGAACTCAAGGCCGTCCCCAAGCGTTACATCAGGATCTTGTTGACGGCAGAAGGGATAGATTGCTTGCAGAGGCCTTTCGCCACAGTTCATTGTTTCGGCAGATTTCGAAAGGCTAGAACAGATGCGGACAGATCTGAACGAGACTTTGGCCTCTCGGCACATCGGGGGTAAGGAGGGGTTATGCTTAGCAGCTCGACTGCACCAGAAATGTGAAACGTGATGTTTTAAAGCATCTTTGAGCCGCCACTCCGAGGCCAGCACGACAGAGTTAGGCGCGGAATTGGCATCAGCTCCGTTCGCTTGGCAGTTTAGGTTGCTTATGCCCCTATCGTTTCACGCCAGTTTCCGAGCTTTGCTGCATCGCCTCGTATTCGCTGCCATTTGAAGTCCCAGACCATGCAGACGGTGAATGACTACGAAACTACGTTCCTGGCTAGCATCGCAGTGAGCTCTCAGAGCAATTGCCCGAACGAAACCATCCGCCACCAAAGCTCGTGGCATGGCCAGAGGAATGCACAAAGGCCGTAGTCACATCCAGCAAACCCGACGAACCATGACACATGAACGAATGTTGAGGGTGCTATGAACAAAGAGCAATGGGAATTCCTCCTCGGAAACTGGCAAGATTGCCGAGAGGGCCTCCCGTCAAGTATTGAGACGAATACTGTGACACGCTGCTCGCAACATCTTAGCAAGCAGGGTGTATGCAATTTTTCTTCTCTTTGCTCTCTTCGTGCTTCTCTGCCAGATCCCGGAAGTCACTGGATTTGATCGGCTGTCTGCCAGAAGCCAACTCGGGCTCCACGTTTCAGGCCCCAGCTCGAAAGAAGCTCCGTAGGAGAAACTCGCACGGGAAGTTCGGGTTGGGGGATAGGGTTCCGGACTGGAGCACGGGTCCTGCCAAGCTGCCGCCGGCCCGGTCGTCGAGTTCATTACGAAACTCCCGTGCTCAGAAGTTACACGTATGGTAGCCGTGGCAGCGGCACACTTGCTCCCAAATTACGTGCCGACGAGGTGGCAAAAGCTATGCAGTCAGCTGGGCATCAAGCAACTCCGACTGCCTGACTGTGAAGACGATCACGAAAGGTGGCCGTAGCTTCACAGCTACTTGTTTCGTTCAGAAACGTCATGGTCAAGTATTTCCATCGCGTATGTGTGGCAGTACCTGACCGATCCTATGTGTGCCAACAAAGGTCCGCGCGAGCTTCGACAAGAACCACGATTGCCTGCACTGGCCAAGTAGGAATGGGGGCTACACGTTGAGCCGGGCTGACTGTGGCGAGACAGTGAGGCAGTTCTGTTCAGTTATGTTATCTTCAAAGACACTGCGACAGTCACGGTTTGTGCAGTGCTTCGAAATTCGAACGGAGGTGGCGTTACAAGTCCAACCACGAGCCAGCCAACGAGTGGATGCGTGTGCAGGACGGATGGGGTCGGTGTGCATGTGTCAGATCAGGCAGTGAATGTTTGCTTCTGCCTGCTTCTCCTTGCTGTTCAAGGGTTTCTGCCTCCGACCCTCGTTTCCACTCTTTCGCTGCGTCGTGTTTCTGTCTTGGTGCCTGTCTCTTCAGAAACGGGGTATGCTTTTGGCATGCTTGGGATGAGGAGGTCGGAGAACGAGCTCAGCTTCAGCGCAAGCGACCGCTCGAAGCGGAGCCAGGCATGCCAGGAAGAGCAAGTGGTGAAGCAAAGCCACATTTGACACAGGGCACATATGGCGCTCAGGCGACACTGACACTCTCTGCGAAGTGCTTCCTTCGGGCCTGGACCTGGAGTCATTGGAGCTCCACAAAAGTCATGTCTTCTTCCAGCTGCTTGGCGCGGGAATTCGGTTGTCTTACAACTAGGAGGCTGTTTGATTGTATGATGCAGAGAGATCTTTTCTGAGTGAGACAAGTAGCTGAAAGAGTATCTTCACTGTTGGCTACTTTAAGGGAAGCTGCGCATGTAAACTCATCAGGATGTCTAGAAGTTTTGACCGACAGCGAAGCACTCCTTGTCCGTGCCTGCACACTTGCCAAACTTGTCTTTGCACATTTCATGAGTGGCATTGAGCTCGGCTCGAAAGGCATCTCAGCCCTCAGATCCGTCTGTGCTGCAGAGAAGAGTGCTCCGTCTGTGGCACAGATTTAGAAACAGACCTGCAATGTTGTATCCACTGAGGATCGTGACCTGCGGCAAAGATCGCTACATGAGCCATCACATGCAGGAGCAGGCCTGACGCAGACAGTGGTGCCCGCAGGGGGAAATCTTTACGGGTCTCTATGGCTTAGAGGTCCCGGGCGGCTTCACGAGTCCCAGAGTCTCAGGCCATTGTCTTCGACGTCAGGAATTTCAAGGATCCTGGGGCCGGCAATCTGAAGCATCACGACGGACGCCACGATGAGATTATCGATCGGATCCGGTGCCTTTCTCAGGCATATGTTCAAGGCATCTGAATCGGGGGCTGCTTGCTGACAGAGAAATTCTCGTGAGGCGGCATAGCGCCTTCCCGACCTTGGTGGCCAGCCTGCGCACCCGGATTGCCCAGGCGTTGCAGCTGTCAGGCCACTTGCTGCTCCTCAGTGCAGTGCAGTGTTATGTGGAGCTTCGGAAGTTCAAGACTTTGTCAGTGGTTCCGTTTTCTGCCTCAGGATCGACCTCCATCAAGGTTGTGTTTTACTGCAAGTCTGGACGCCACCGCTCGGTGGCCTTTGGAACCATGTTCAAGTACATCCTCCTCTACGAGGACTTCAGAAACTTGCAGACAAATCAACTCTTTTGCTTGAGAGGTCTCTGGATGCGTGCCTTGGGATTAGGTGCTTAGTAAGGCTCAGTATCCAGGTTACGTCCCATCCGCCTGTAAGAAGGCATGCTCGCGTGCGATGCATAGTGAAGAATCGCTTGTAGTAGTGATTTGAGGCAACGTGCTTCTCGAACATGAGGGCAACTATGATGGTTTTGTGTGCTGCGGCTGTGACAGGTGGGAACACACATGGAAGTTCGTTCGAGGAACAGGAACCATGTGTTTTTGTCGAATTTGCTCGTCTGAGGTGCGCTAGCAAGACTGCAATGCGCCTCAAAGCCTGTGAAGATGCCCTTCGAGACTGGAAGCGGATGAGCTCAGTGGCGGCATTATTGGCTCCCCCGCATTTGTCGAGTCATAGTTTCGTGCTGTGACTGCGGTGAACTCTTTGCAGATTCAGGACGCAGTCCATCTGTGTGAGGGCGACGCTCTTCCGTCTTGATTCGCATGGCGTGCTTGCAATCGAAATCTGCGCGTGGCTGTGTCAGTTGCACGGCATGTGCAAAATATATCCATGTTCCTGCCGCTGCACGTAGCGAAGCTAATGGGCTTTCCCGAGAGTTGCAGTGAATGTTGTTGGTCTCGCAGGTGAGCAGGCTCGGAAGGCACAATCAAGTCACAACAGGCAGATGAAGGCTACTTGGCTCAAGACTGTGTCTTCTTGTTTTCCCAGTGTCTCGGTGTGGATTTGGCCGTGGTGTTGTTGTTGTTGTTGTTGT